ATCCATGAAGAAGACCAAAAAGCTCATGCACAATCAGTATTACTTGAATGTGAGATAAATGCACTGAACCTCTGTAATCAAAGTGCAATATGAGATGCTCACAAGTGGAATGTGAAGAGCACATAATGAATGTAGTATGATCTACATTGTCAACAACAATTTGATATCAGGCAAAGGTAGTGATCTCCCTATAAGCAGCAAAAGAGTTTAATATACAATGAACTGACAACAAAGGTGTATTTGAAAAGTCCCAAGTAGATACAACAGTTCATTAATCATTGTTTATAGGAAAAGTGATAATGAATGTAGCATCTTCACTCAGCTCAACATCAGTGCGTTATGAATACATTGGCCCACCTACAAGTGATGAAAACTCACCGAAGTGAATGTAGCAACACCCCGCAGTTCATATGCAAGCAAGAACATGAATCTACTACACACATGACAGTTCACTTTCAAAAACTACTAGACTTGTGAATGATTGTAGGCGACAAAGAAGATTAATTAACCTGTAGCATTCAAGCAATTGTGAGTGAAGATTCAACCAACAGGAGAGTTGTCATGTAAACAACATCTAGCCTACAAGTAGAAGAGAGATGTGCAGTGATTACGAGGGATATGCAATGGATATTACGATGTCCTTTCAAATGCCGGTGATTAATTAGCAAGTAAAGATCACATTTTCTTACAAAAACTGAGAGTCAATGTACAAAAGACATAACAACCTGCTGACCAATTTGCATGAGAAGGCCAGTGATGAATACAAGCATCTACGAATAAAAGCAGGAGATTAGTTAGTGCACTACAATCTACCTACATAAATCATACAAGTAGTGCACAACAGTCTGTCTGTACAAAGCAACAAACAACTCAATCTAGAAGCTGCTACAACATGCCACCGAATCCGCAACAATCATACAAACGGACAGAAGCCATTTACAAATATTTTTAAAATACTCCTGCACATGCACAGTAGCTTGTATGCACATAGGTCACAAAGGGGTGAGCATAATCAAAACCCGCATGGGCCCCGACGAGCGTGTCTTATGTATACACGTGACGTATAGGGATGCTGCACGGATCAATAAAGTCAAACCCGATCCTCTATTGATAGCTTGATAGAGTCGACAAGGTTCAATCCACAAATGGGAAATGCCCCCAAAAACTCGCAAGAGCCCCGGTGAGCGTGTTATTGACACACGTGACGTCTAGGGATGCTGCGTGGGTCGATAAGTGAATTCTAGTTCGAACCCGATCATTCTATGAGGATCAATAGGAGTCGACAAGGTTTGAACCTTCAAATAAATACACATTTATGGTAACCGGTGTATTTGTTTTAATACATTCATATTAGGCCTTCAAAGCCTATAATAATGAGAATTTACAAATAAAGACAGAAAGCCTGTGAGACCCGATCCTCCTATACGAATAAATAGTAGTCGATAGGATTTAACTATTAAATGCCCCCAAACACCCTCATGGGCCCCGACGAGCGTATTATTGGTACATACGTGATATCTAGGGATGCTGCGCAGGTCAATAAGTGAATTCAAGTTCTAACCCAATCCTTCTATACAGATCAATAGGATTCGACAGGGTTTGAATCTTCAAACAAATACACAGTCGTGGCGATCAGTGTATTTGTTTTAATACATTCATATTAGGCCTTTAAGACCTATAATCAAGAGAATTTACTAATAAAGGCATAAATCCTACGAAACTTGATCCTCCTAAGCAATATAGGAGTAGACAGGGTTCGAACCATCGGATAAATATGCAGTCACGAAGTTGACCGTAATATTTCTTTTATACATTCATATTAAACCTTTTAACAAAAAAAATTCACAAACAAAGATATTAAACCCGAGAAACCCGATCCTCTGTTGACAGCTCAACAGAATAGACAAGGTTCAATCAACAAATGAAAATGACCCCAAACACCCCGATGATGGCTGTGTTGAACGTTAATCACAAATGGAGGGGTAATTCCAACATTCAAAGCTCCACCCAAATACCCACAAAATCCAAAACTCCACAAATCCCAAAATTCAAATATATTTAAAATTGAAATTCGACTATCAGAATACTTAAAGCAAATATGCATCCACCCTCCGCAATAGTTTGTTGATGTGGATAAATTTAAATATAATTTCAACTCACATAGAGCTAAAAGTCTGATCGAAAATATAACTAGGATCCATTCTCAAATAATCTTCTGCTAGTTAGGACGTGGTACGTGTCCTCTAACCGACGGTTTTACCGCCAAATGACACCGCGGGATAAACAGTTATGACCTAGGGCCCTCTGAACCGAGTGATTTTGCCGCCATATGGCACCACGAGGTAACGATTATGGCCAGAGCCAATACGTTCCTTAATGACATCAAACCCTTAAGATATGAACCAATATGATATGATCGATAGAGCACAAAGCCCTCTGTAATTCAATGACGATAATGCCAGGTATACCTGGGCTCCATTGAATATGTTTATGAATGAGTAGCCAAATCTTTTAATGAGTAAAATTAATATTCAGTATGGATGTAAGAAAAATTTCTAGGTAATATCAAATGAGAATTATGAAGCTTACTCAGGTAGTATAACTTTTATTTATGTTTTCAATATTTTAAATTTTACAATCATGCAATTTAAATGTTATTTCAAGTTGCATCACTTATGGAGTCTCATAACTCACCAGTAGTTTATTACTGGCTGTTGTTACAAGAAAGAGAAAAGGAAAGGCGGATGAAGACTAATTTGCAAGTATTTAAATTTTATGTTAATATTTAATCTATTTTTGAAGTTTACTTATGAGTTAGTAAGCAGTTTACATGTTGTACTACTTTGAGTTGGTTTGGATTTTCTTAATGGCTCTATAAATGTGTTTATTGAGGTTTTAATTTGGAAGATGCTTCCGTTGAGATATAAATGGACTTATGATTAGATGTTTCATATGAACTTCAAAAAAGAAATAAAAATTGTATTAAATATTTTTGAAATGATAAATGTTTATGTGATGCATGTCACACTCAATGGTACTATTTAGAGGTACTGTGGGGTGTTACAAATATGATGCATAAACATACATTTGAGAGGTGTTGGATAACAATCTGACACCTCTACACGCATCGAAATCCTCTCTGGGCCCTCCCATGAGAGCCAAGAAATGGAAATCACCAAATTTCCATAGTTTCGCGAAGTGGACAGCCAACAAAAGGATTTTGGGAGACGAAAAATCAAAGTTTCTAGGGACCTAAGGCTTTGGATCGTCAATCACATACCATTGGCTAGGGAGCCTTAAGGTTTTGCCTAAGTTTTAGTGTTATACCTCTCCGCGCTCCTATCCAAGCTCTAAATGCTGTCCAAGCTCCTTTGAGGGCTCCAAGCTGCTGTCCAAGACTTTCCCAAGGAGGAAGACCGCTGTCCAAGCCTTTCCGGATGTCTCCGCCGCTGTCCAAGCCTTTCCGTATGTCACCGCCGCTGTCCAAGCCTTTCCGGAGGGTGGATTTGCTGTCCAAATTGCTCCGGGCAGTGGTTTGCTGTCCAAGAACGCTCCAAACAGCAGTTTTCAATATTTTTGCTATCCAAACGTTCCAAACAGTAGGTTCTGCTATTTGGAAGTCTCCGGAGGCTGATTTCGTCGTCAAGTGGTCGCTGGAGTTGATTTGGAAGGAAGGAGAAGCCTTCCACCTCTTCCTAAGGGCAAAAGAAAAGAACTACAGTAGTTCTTTGTCCCAGATTTCGTGATAGGAAGAGGATAACAGCGAAACTAGAGGGAAATGGCTGACTGTGAAGGCTTGGCGTCTGAACAAGGCCGGCGATTTTTAAGGACGCACCACACGGCAAGAGAAGGCAGCAAGGGAGTCGGCCAAACCTGCTAGGGCTTCTCCTTCATATCTTTCTCCTGTAGTCAGCAAGCAAAGGGGGGTGGAAGCCCCCCCTCCCTCTCTTCCGCACTCGCCTGGGACGGAGGAACCGCACGGGAGAGCCGGCTCTCCCTCTCCCGATCTCTCGCTCTTTCTCTCGCTAGGGGTCGGGATGGACAACACGCGGGGAGCCGAATGGCTCCCCCTCTCTCCCTTGCGTGCTCTTCGAGAGCACGAGCAGCAGCGAAGCACCGCCCAAATGGGCCAATGCCGCTTAACGAGGAATTTGAGCAGAATTTGGGATGAAATCTGAGCCATTTATCTCAATTTCTGATTTGAGAATCAAATTCAGCCCAAATTGACAAATTAGGGCTGAAATTGAGTCCGGATTGGACTTGACCCGAACCGATTTGGGTCAGTTTGAGTCCGATCAATTTAATTTTGTGAAATTGAACTCAAATCGGTGTCGAATCACGTCAAATTGGGTTCGACGACGCTCGACGGAGTTCAATTTAAATTGATTTGATTTTAATTAAATTAAATTGGGTTTAATTTAATTAAATTGAGTCAATTTGGATCAATTTTGCCACGACGATGATCGATTGAGTTGATCGAGCGCGATCGAGCCTAATCGGGCTTGATCGGGGTCAACAGTGTGAAGCTTTTTATCTTTTTACTTCTCGTGCTCTTCATATTTTCCTTCATTATTATCCTTTCTAAAATCCAAGGTCGTCATCCATCATGATATCATTCACAAAAGCATGGAGTCACATAATTTGGAACAATCCTTAGCAACAATAGTTTCAGCTTGACTTTTGCACCAAAAAGTAAAATGTTCAAATCATTCTCTAGAAACAAATTCCAAATGGCACAGTGATGAAAGGCACAGAAAGTAGGTATTGCAATATAAAAGGATCTCCTCTTCAATTAGAACCAAGAATTTCACGTTTCCTTGATTTTACTGGTGAATATTGTAATTTTTATTGTAAACCTGACCTGAAAGCTTGAAAATTAAGCTAAATGTTGGGGTGGTGGGCTGGGCAAGGGTATTATAATGCATTAATTTGCTCAAGGATGGGCACTTGAAAAGATTAACTTGTGCATAAGGAAATAAACCACCAAGTTTTTTAAGTACCTTTAACTTCTTCAACGCATACAGGAATCACATAAGCCTGCAAGTCCCCATTTAAACTATCTTATCCAATAGTAAGATCTTATTAAAAATTAATAAATTCTAAAAAGATTCAAAATTAAGGAGGAAAAGAACAAAAAAAAATCTTACAGTGCTGGGACTTGTTATGCAAGAATTAATTCTGCCAGCTTCCACAAATCTTACCCAACCCATGACCAGACTAAAAATAAAAAGAATCAGAGGTAACAAGCCCGGTATTATCATGCATTGAAACATAGAAGTTCAACAAACACACACACACACATATATATATATATATATATATATACACACACACACACGAGCATCAAGAAAATGACACAAATTCACAAAAAGACAACACGATCAACATTTCAAAGAGGGTAGAAATGGATGGATGTAACAAAAAAAAGTTTGAATTGCACTTCCACATGAAATAACCGAATAGGTAAACCTATAAAAATGCAGTTTTCATTTCTCATTGAACATCTTCAACAAGAAAACTGGATAATCCTAAAATCTGTCAATATATCAAGTCATAGAAGTAAAACCTGATTGATTTGTGTTTCATGACAATGGTGGACAACAAGACCGCCTCTACAGCCTTACCCTACGAGAATGCAATGATACTGGAGTAATCAAAGTAGATCCACTTTTCATTCAAGCTAAAAGCATTAGCATGGGAACTTGGATAACACCCGCCCTAGGAAACATGGAAAAATGTGTGGTAGGTTGATATGGGAAGTCAAGGTTTGGTGTATAAAACGTTCTTGAACATAATGTAGCTATAAAATAGTCAAGTTGAACATTTTTAGAAGAATTCACTTGGTAAATTCTGCAAAGAATGGGACCTAAGCTGACTTCTGAAATTTTAATCTCAAGTACAAGCAAAACACTGGTTCTGCATTTAGTAAAGTAAAAAGGGTTAAGATGGATAAAACAGCTCTTTGGATGGGAATTGAAGAAAGCTCGTCCATCAATGCATGCCTCCTTGGCAAATAAGATAAAAAAACTTTGGCAACAGAATGAAAAAACAATATAGTACAAAATGGAACAAAGTACCAACACACAACCACAAGGATATATTTTTATAAAGTTCTCAGAATCTACCCTCTTCCAACAGGCACCTGCAAATAGAGTGGTAATGAATAAGGTTTTCAATAGAAGCATGATTAATGAGAGAAAGTAAAACAGAAAGAGATTTGTAGAAATGCAAGTCTTTCTTTCATCAATTCCAACAAAATATCTCTGCAAGAAAATTAAAACACAAAAAGCATGTCTCAAACGGGAGACATGTTAAAGAAAGGGTTTAAATAGTGCACAAGGCTCCTACAAGTACAGGATTTGAGGAGAGACCAAGAATGGTACTTTAAACCAGATGAAAAACCAAACTTTAAGCCTAAATTTTCAGAGAGGTTACTTCTTGGATTCGAATTAATGACTTCAATATCATACAGTGGCAACTTTACCATAACTCCTACGGCTGTAATATATGATGCTCTAGAGCCTAGGATTCTAAAAGCAGATCTAAATTTCATGAGACAAAATGTTAATATGCAATTTCTGCTAACTAGCAAGCCATCAATACAGCAAATAATTTTCACAAATGATGAATAATAAAAAAATAGATAAAATCAAAATTACAATCAAAACATTATATGTCCTAATATAAATGTAGAAAAACATAAGAGAAGAATACTCATATATTTTTCTTATTGGCAAAAGGAGAGGTACACAATGTATAGGAGATATAAGATAACTAGAATAGAAAGAAATTTAGGAAGAAATTAATACCAATTATAAATCAATTTCTTCTACATATAAGGTTTGATGAGTTGGACAAACATCTAGCCCTCTTTGTAGTTGACGATCAATATTCTCGTGGATTGTTGACTTAGGTGGAGATCTGGCCCTTGCCGCATCTCGAGGGATCCAAATCCTATGGATTGTCGAGGCGGCATGGTTTGTAGTGCCATGTGAATATTTTCAGTTGAGTTAGGATTTTTACACTTCCTCTCAAGCTAGAAATATATGTTGAACATTCATAGCTTGGAATTAAGGTATTTCTAATTGTGATTGATCATAAGTTTTGGTGAGAATATCTGTAGTTTCGAGTTTGTCGGAGTGTAATTTATTTGAATAATCCCTTGATCAAAATTTTCTTTTCTTTTATGAGCATCTATCAATTTCAATAGGTTTGGTTCTACCATGATGAACCGAATTTTAGCAATGTTGATAGTAGCTTAATTGTCATGCCTCATTACCATAGGTTTTGTCATAAGAATGTGAAAACTATCGAGGTGTTTAAGCACATACATTCACAAATACTAATGGCCATAACACTGTATTCTACTTCAGCACAACTCTGAGCAATGATAGATTGTTTTCTTGTTTGCTAAGTAGCTAAGTTTTCCCATATGAAGAAGCAATAACCTAATGTGTATTTGCGATCTATTACTGATCCAACCTCATCCTGTCAGCTTTCTACACTCGTTGAGCCAACCCCATATAGTGGGATAAAGGCGATGATATTAATGATAGTAAGCTTTCCCATATGAACGAATCACACGTTTACCACTACACTTCATGATTTGAAACAAAAATAAAAAGCATTAACTATTTATTTTGATTTGAGGGTTAAGGTTTTGAAGGTAAACATGATGTTAATTTCAGGTAGAGGAAAACATACAGCTTAATTAACACCAACAATAAATCAAAGTGAGAATAGTGATAGTCGTAGGATTCAAAACCCTTACTAATCCATATCACCTAAAACCTCTTTTTTTAGAGGACTAAAGAGTTGCTCATAAATTGCTTGCCAACACAGCAACTACAAGCAGACTGAGAAGGAGAAGAATAAAAGTTGTGCTTGTCTCTTATAGGCATGTGCTAAAATCTCGTGGCACAAATGTAACCTCTCTCAAGCAGGAGACCTCAAGTAACTAGGAAAACTTAAAGCTATGAAACTCAAAGTGTGGAATGAGAGCTAGAATTACACACACAAAAAGGGAATTTATATTGTTATTAAATAAGTTATATTTAACCAAATTTTTAATAACATATAAGATATCATTGAGTTAAATATCAAGTCTTTAATAAGTTATTGAATAATAAACAAGCTAGCTTGTGAATATAAATAAACAAGTTGGATTGTCTTCGAGCTTAATTCATTTAGCATTTAGTTTTTTAAATTAGTTCAAACTTGTTTAGTAACTAACCTGAACCAATTTAAACAAGTATCAATCATTCGAGTTCAAGATATTCATTAAGTACATTGGTTAACTTACAAGTTCCAACCCTAAAAAAAATTAAGGGACTAAATATGAAATCAAGAGACAAACTAGGAGGCATATCCCTTAATAAAGAACAACTTGACATTCTCTACAAATTACTCACTCCTAAGAAAACAACCAACACTTTTCTAATTTTGCCCGAAAAGGTAATTTTCTAACCACTCTAACCTTTATAAAGGAAGAGTAAGAATTATGGATCATAAATTGATGAGCTACAAATCACATGATAAGTTATACTCACTTTGTCTCTTCATAAAGTTAAACTTGTTGATGGATCCTTCTCTCCCATCGTTAGAGTGGGAATAATTAAAATTAATTCTGGACTTCTAAATCCATCTACATGTTTCTAACCTCTATTATAATTCATATTTGTAAGCAAAATTTCTAAGAATTGTGATTGTAGAATTGTTCTCACCAAAACATTGTGTATTTCAAGATTAGGAACCAGAGAAGAGGACTGATAATGCTAGCGAGTTTAAAGGACACTACTATGAAGAACCCAAAGAAAGTAAACAAGGTACTTGCTATGAATGGGGAATTATCTAATCTTACAAGAAGTGGACATTTTAGGTTGGATCACCAAAGCTTTTCCATGTCTCAAAAATTTATTATCTTCACTATTTAAAAATGAAGATGATTTCAATGTGAAGTCTATCAATTAGCTAAACAACAACGAATTGCCATCAAGCCTAAATCTTATAAAGCTATTAGGCCGTTATCTTTAATGTATAAAGACATTTGGGAGCTTCAAGATCCCAAAATATTTACTCCAAATGTTGGATTATTACTTTCATTGATGATCATACTCATTTGAGTTGAATCTAATATCGAACAAACTTTCAAAAACTTCAATAATATGATTAAAACTCAATACTCCACCAATATCCAAATCTTACACTCATATAGAAGCATAGAATGCTTCAACCAAAATTCTATAAGTTTCGAGATTCAAAATGGCATTAGTTATCAGAACTCTTATTTCAACACTCCACAACCAAATAGCATAGTTGAAAGAAAAATCAACAACTTCTAAAAGTTGCCAGATCCATAATGTTCACCACCAATATTGCTATTTTTTTAGGTGATGCCATCTTACAACTTGTTATCTTATAATTAATTGAAAGCCCATTAATGTCTTTATCTTCTAAAATCCCATAAAAAAAAATTCCAAAAGCTTTTCCAATACTCACACTAGTTCAAATCTCCTAGCTAAGTTCTTGGGTGCTCTGTCTTTATAAAAAATCATGAAGTTAATAAAAACGACCCTAAGGCTTTTAAATGCACTTTTTCTTTGATAGGTTGCAAATAAAAAAAATATGTTGCAAATGTTACCTCCTTGAAAAAAGAAATTATATATATCTAAGGATGTTACCTTTTATTAAATTATAGCCTTCAAAAAGAAAATCCCTTGCGGGGGAGTGAGAAGGTGAAGAAAATGTTCATCTTGAAATTCTCAATAGCATATACACCACTAATATCTTAATCATCCTAGATCAAATAACTTAAAAATAATTAATATGTTAGACACTCAATAAATTGGGTAGTTCTTCAAGCAAAAATGCTTGACAATAATTCCCCTTTATTTTCTAAACATAAGGTGTACTCTTGATGAAATAATCTTGAACGAGTAAAAAATTCTCAACTTGCAAAAACTTGTCATGAATCTTAACTCAACCTATGTATTTCAAAAACTATCCTTTCTTTTGATAGTAATGATGAATTAATAATTGCATTAAAGGTGCTTGCTTTTATACTCCGTATGCTATAGCAAATATTGTATAACCATCTATCCTCCATTGAAGTTTTAGTTTCCAATCCAGCAAAAGTGGAAGAAGGTTATGGAAAAAGAAATAGAAGCATTGAAAAAAATGGAACTTGGATCATTGTTCATAAACTATGGTGTTACACTTGCTGGATGTAAATAGGTAAATACTTGTATGATAAATCAATCCATTAAAAGGTATAAGAAATGACTAAAAACAAAAAGATTCACCCAAAATTATAGAATTGATTACTTGAAAATATCTGTACCAGATATAATTCAAGTATTTCTATCCATAGCTCCAAATATTGATTGATTTTTACACCAATTGGATGTTAAGAATGATATTCTGGATGGAGACTTAAATGAAGAAGCCTATATAGAACATCCTCAAGGATTCAAGAGGACTGAGAAAATAGAACAAGTATACAAATAAAAAAAAAAACTATTTATGATATTAAACAATCTCAAGGAACTTGATTCCAACGGTTCATCAAGGCTATGTGTCAGCAAGAATTTGGACAAGTTCACCTCAAACCACACTTTATATGTAGCTATCAACCAAACTTAAGACCATGGGGAGGGTAATTTAATTTGTTTTGAAATTTAATTGTATATGACTTAATATGTTGAAATCAATTCTTGCTTTTTTTTTTCTGATTGTGTGTATTGTAATTAAGTTTGTTTTATAAGTCTTTTAATTCATTCTAGCTATAAAAAATCAAAGTTATTTTCTCCTAAAATTATGTATCTTTAATGCATATAGCCTTCCTTAAGAATATTGTAATCAAGGTGTATGAGTCTGTACCATTTGATAGCGATAAAGCACAAAAATGCAATAATTTACTACCTTCTTCTCCCCTGGAATTCCTTCTAATTATAATTTTACTTTAATTAAACCAATCATCATGGAAAAAAAATGAAGTATATTAATCTTGGATTTGTAAGGGTATTTTTATGATTAGGATCCCGTCTTGTTATGAATTATAATAGATGTAACATCATGGGAAAATATTACTAGAATTGTTTTTATTTATGATTAGGATCTTGACTTGAATGGTGGACTCCGATA